GCAAGAATTTTGGTGACAAAAACTAAACCATGTTGGAATAGAGAAGTTTCTGAGTTATTTACAAGGGATTTAAAACTCCCGCAATCTGACTCTTTTTTTTTAGTAATAACTTTAACTGACATGGCGTGACATGAGACGTGTCACGTAAGCCTCCGTTAGTGGAATCTAACGAGAGACTAAAATAGAGATGAAAAATATTACTAAAATCATTGTTTGAAAAAAAAAATTATAGAGACTAAAATTGAAAGTTGTCATATTTACAGAAATCCTAACATATTTAAACCCAACATTTTATGTTTAAATAATTTGTATTTAATACATTTTATGTTTTACAAAACTAAATTTTAACGAATGAAATTATTATAATACTTTAAACGTACCTAAAATTCCTTCTTTTTAAAAGTATAAAAATAATTATAAAACTTTGAGTTTAGAATGAATTGAAACTACATAATAAATTTATTGTTAGGATTAAAAAATAATTAAAATTAAATAATGATTAAACTTAAAAGGTATCCATTTTATATATAAATAAAAAAATGCAATTTTACCATAATACTATACTCTTTATATTTTATTCCTTTTATATTTTTTTTAAACGAAGATGTAGTAACCACTAAAAACTTATACGCACCATTGTGAGCATCAATGCTAAAACTTTATTAATGGCAGGTGAGTATTTGAACTTTATATATAGGATTCAACCATATAAATATTTATTTATTTATTTATAACTATGTTATGGATTTCTATGACACACATTTAACATAGTATCGTTAAAAATGGGTCATATTATGTATTTATCATATCTAATAGATTTGTGTAGTTTTTTTTTATTATTCATAGAATCATCTTTTTAAGATACTGCATATTCTCTTTGCTTCCAATTATAAAAGAAATTCACTTTATAAATTTATTGAATAATTAATATATTTATCTAGATCAAATACATTAATTATTCAATGAATCTAAAATAAAAATAAATTTTTCTTATAATTTGAGACGGATGGAGTATGATATATCAATGTTCTTTTTACCATTGTCAGTAAACATGCATGAGCAACAAAAAGAGAAAAGAGAATGAGAAAAAAAAAAGCCGATCAAGATTACATAAATCTTGTGTCAACTTTCTATTACAATGTCGTCATTGTCATGTTTGGACTTGTTCTCCTGCTATATTATTACAGTTCCATGGAAATCCAAAAAAGAAAAATCAGAAAAACGCAGTTCTATGGCTTCTTGGTTTCACTTTTCTGCACATGAAATGCTTGAAAAAATGCCTCAACAAACAAATTCCCATTTTCTGCTGCAGAAAATCTAATACTCTGTAAGATTCTTTGTTTAATGATATATGATGATGACTTGACTGACCCTTTTAATTCTACAGTATCAAGTGAGGTAGAATTGACATCAAGAATGGAAACAGGACCACAATGATGAGAACAAGACCAAGAAGTATGGCATAACATGTCCACTTCCTTGAATCCTTTTGATGCTCTCTAGCCTCATGAAGTTGTTCAGTACCTCTCCTAACAAAAGAACTAGCATGTGCAACATGACTCTCTATGTTATTCAGTTGTTGTCCTTGTGACTCAACAAGTGCTGCCATGTCCAGAAAAACTTGATGTAGTTCTATCAAATTTTTCTCTATTTCCTTAACAGCATCGTGTCTTTCTTGAATCTCAGATATCGTGTCCATAATCTGACCCCTACCCTGTTCCTGAATTGCTCTCTGCATAAAAGTTTCACTTTCTCCACTTGATATCAAATTCTCAATTGTGTCTTCGTCAGCTTTCTCACCTGTTATTGTAAAATACCTTCTTTCGATTGTTTCCTTGTACTCTTGTTGCATTCTTGCTCTTAACCCTTGAAAATCATCCATCATGTCTTTGAGTTTTTTTCCCAATCCACTAACCACTGAAGTTCTTGTTCTATCTGCTGATGAGCCTGGACCACACCCTGCAATGTTTCTATTCGTGGCATTTGAACGTTCTAACGCTTCGAGCTTACCCTTTATGATTTTAACTCTTTTGAGAACCTGTTCAACATCTTTATCCATCCTTGCTCTAAGATCTTTCATTGTTTTAGCATTATGGACAATTTTGCTTTCTTCATTTGCCTCTTGTAATTTTCTATAAAGCTTCTCAACTAGCCTCATGTCTTCTTTCACATTCTCAACATCCTCAAAGAATTTATCAAGGTTGATGCTTTCTTTTCCTGCTTCAACATCATCCATGTGAGCTTGCTCCTTCAAGTCACTATATTTCTTGAAGGAGCTTGAAAACAAGTCATTCATTTTTGCAAATTTTTTAATGAACAATGACCAACACTGTTTTTTTTCTTCTTTTCTTTTCTCTTCGTTTTTTTATTGATTTCTTGTGTACTGGGTAAATCTAGTGACAAACAAACCTTACAAAAGAAGAATTGATTGTTTGATCATGTAACACAATTGTGTTTCCTTAATGTGTCCTCATCCTTCTTTGGATTTGATCAATTTTTTTTACAAATGGAGAGGAAACAAGAAGGTGGCAAAAGGCAAAAAAAACTATTTGTTACCAACAAAAGGGTAAGAAGCAAAAACAAGTTATTTTTTTCTTGGGGTGGATGTATTAGAGGTTCATGGTTAATGTGAAACGGGGACCAGACAAATTAACTAGATAATACTAATGAAAGAAAGGTGTTTAGATGTTGGATAAACATGTGGCAGTGCTGTTTTTTCTTGTACTCTATTAATGACTTCTTCATTTTAATTTCTGTCCTCTCAGTCAACTTTGTCTTTTTAAGGATATTTTTTAGCTGAAATTAAATTTGTATAATAGAACTATTGAAGTTATCTATCAAATTTCATTTTATTATTAATAAAATCTCTATAATAAAGTTATCATAAAATACTATTATTAAGAGTAATAAACTTGTATTGTTGAGTAATCATTACATCAAATATTTATTACATATATTTTTAATGCAATAATGAAACTTGTCTAAAACTTAAAGAACAAAGTAAGATTATAAATTTAAATACATAATTTATTTTTCTTTTTAGCATAATACATATAATTTATTAATGCTTTGTATAAACCAATAGAGAAGTTCAAAATAATTGTTAATATTTATTCAAAATCTCGTATTCAAAAGTAAAGATTATTACAATTATTATATAATCTCCCTAATCATCAAATTGCATCATTTTAAATCGTTATCGTTTCACCCTCCAACATCTACATTTGTTGAGTTTGAAAGAGTTAGTTTAGTCTCATGTTGTTTAAAGATATAGATGGTCTTTATAATGTTTATAAGACTTGGGCAACCTTCACTTTGGACAATATTTACTTTAGAAGTCGGTATTATAAAAGATGAGTTAGACCAAACATACATTCTATGATGAAATCAAAACCTATTCAAAATCTTTTGTTGAACTTCATGCATCGTCCACACTTCAATCTCATTCAGACCTGATCTTGAGCGGATATGTTAGAAATTTCGCCTTCAATGCCCTCTGCCCCTAATCGTCTAATTGTGGCATATGAATTTGTCTTCATTGCAGTCTCCAACACTTATATTGTATTGAATTTGAAGGGATAGATGTAATCCGACATTACACAACGAAAATATGTTCTTGTTATACTTGAGGAAACGGGCTTGCTTAATTGCCGACCTAGTGACACTCTTATGGATCCTACGTCAAGCTACTACCAAGTCAAGACGAGCCATTGAAAGATCCTGGTAGATATCGACGTCTAATTAGAAAACTTAATTACCTCACAGTAATCAGACCAGACATTACATTTATTGTTAGTGTGGTTAGCCAATTTCTAAATGCTCCATGTGATAACCATTAAAACGTTGTGATTCGCATTCTTAAATATACAAAGAGTGCGTCGGGTAAAGGATTACTTTATGAAAACAAGGGTAACACCCAAGTCGTGGGTTATTCTAATGCTGATTGGACAGGATCACCGTCTGATAGAATGTCCACTTCAGGGTATTGTATTCTCATTGGAGAAAATTTGATCTCATGGCGGAGCAAGAAATATAGCATAGTTGCAAGGTCTAGTTCAGAAGCAGAATATCGTGTTATGGTAGCAACATGTGAACTTACGTGGTTAAAACAATTACTCCAACAACTCAAATTAAGAGACATCAAGGCAGTGAAACTAGTTTGTGACAACCAAGCTACACTTCATATCGCCTCCAATTCTATTTTTCATGAAAGAACAAAGCATGTAGAGATTGACTGCCACTTTGTAAGAGATAAGGTTCTTTCAAGAGAAATCATAATTGACTTGGTTTGTTCAAATGATTAATTGACTGACATATTTACTAAATCTCTTAGAGGACCTCGGGTTGAATCTATTTATAACAAACTCGGTGCATATAACATGTATGCTCGAGTTTGAGGAGGAGTGTTAGAATTAATTATGATTGTAAATATTCTAGAATGATTGATAGTATTTCTAGTCTAAACAACTTTAGATTAGTGTTTACTCATTAACTAAGTTAGTGCTTATCCATTAAACTTCAATATATTTGTTGTAACACTAGTATAAATATAAGTATCAGAATTTACATAATTCTATAGAAATAATATAGTATTAGTATGAATAGTTTTTATAAAGTGACATTGTATTGAATTTAAAGGGATAAATGTAATCCCGCATTACTTAGAAATGATATAGCATGTAGTTTGAACATACCTCATCTTACAAATCAAATCGATTTCATTGGCATATATAGTTTTTATAAAGTTTGGACAAACCTAATCTTACCAATCGATTTTATAGAAATATAGAAATGAGTTAGGACAAACCCACACATTCTAAAAAAAGCATTATCATGTGTTTGCCAAGAGATGAAAATGCAAGTAAAGTACTACACAAAAAATATTTATCATTTTGCCCGATTCTCATTTTGCTTGGTTGTGTGTTTGAAATAAACAATTAACTAAAACGTTTTGGGTGTTCAGGATAAAAACACACTAATTATGCTAAACACGTTATGAAATGGGCAATGGACAAGACAGCCAATATATTTCAGCAAACTTTGGTGCAAAAGTTGCTAGCCTAAGTATGAGCAAACAGAACTCAGACAAATTAGAAAATTTTCAAGGGTTAAAAATCAATTGGGAGAACAAATTAAGCATAGTTACATTTTCAATGTTATCAAAATCAGGTGGCACGGTGAGCCCTCAAAAAGAAACTAAAATAGCTTCAACCCACTACCTGATTCAACTGCATTACATAATTTCCCTACACAAATCACTATGTCGTCGTCCACTACGGAATATTTTGGTTTTTTCACCATTTCTTTTCCTCCTACCCCCTCTTTATGTACAAACAAAATATTAAGATGCCGAAATGGATGAATTACAGAAAAATATTTCCCCACTTCAACAAGCTTTGCAAGAACATGTCAAATTATGACCAATGCCGGTATGATTTTCACACGTTCATGGGCAAAGACTGAGTATGTTCCTTATCTGCATTATGACTACTGCTACCATGGATAACACCATTGCTAAGCTTCTCTTCTCTCACTACATCTCCTACATGCTGTGACTGACTACCTGATGAATCTCCGGTACCAGAGTTCAACACATTCTGCTGCTGCTTGAGGTACATCTCAGTTGCATCGTGGAGCAGCTTCACTACACCAGAATCTGAACCAGGTGACAATTCTTCTTCTCGCTCTGGCTGGATATTGAGGTCAATTTGGCCTTTAAACGGAGACACGGATGATTTTATCCGGTGAGGATCATCATCGGAACCGTCATTACCATCCTTATTCATGTTTGGGCTACTATCACCCGTATTACTATTATGCAAAGAATCATCATCGAGCAAAATCTCAGATGAAGGCAATTGCTGAGAATTCTGTTGCTGCATCTTCTTACGTGTTGTCTCTGCTTCTCTTTCTGATTGCTTCTTCTCGCGCCGTAGCATAAGGGTACGGAAACGACGTTTCACCGTTAGACAGACATTACATGTGCATGTCTGCTTATGCTTGGGGCCCTTTCCACTTGGAGGCTGGATGCACACAATGCAGGAGCAGCCAGGTCTATGTCGTGGGTGTTTAGTTGTGGCCTGGGAAGATGCCGGGAGAGCCTCCCCTTCCCCCAGGATAGCTAGATTTGCAAGTGTATCAAGTCCCTCCAAAGCTTCGGCATGATCAGGATCCTGCTTAACAGCCTTCATTTTCTTGGAACCAGCTGCCAAACAAATGCAATTAACAACAAGTAGTTTTTATTAGAGGGTAATTTAGTATTTTGTTAGTTGTAGATAAGTTTTAATTAGGGCCTATGTGGCATTATTATTTGTGTATAAATAGGTGTACTAGGTTTACATTTATTAATCAATCAATTTCTCCAATCATTTGTGTCAGCCTCTATTGCATTTATTCCCTTTCATTTTCTCCTCAAATTCATCACCTTTGCACTAACAAATTGGTATCTAGAGCTCTTGGTTTGATTCTGAAACTCTGGGAAACACGAGTGATAGTGAGCTGTGTGTTTGATTTTTGATTCTTGAACAAAAATCTGAAACAGAATCACACTGATTCTGTGGGTTTGGGAAACACTGAGTGAGATCTGAGTTTTTCTGTGCAAAGGTTTAAGATGAATGGAGGCAGTAGTTTAAACACTAAACTTCCAGTTTTTGATGGTAAAAACTGGAACAGATGGAAGATTCAAATGAGTGTGCTGTTTGGTGCTCAGGATGTTCTGGACCTTGTCTCTGAAGGTTATGTTCCAGCAGCAGCTGATGCTACTGTAGAACAGAAATCAGAAGAAAAAGCTACAAGGAAGAGGGATCAGAAAGCACTGTTTTTCATCCATCAGTGTGTGGATGAAAATGTGTTTGAGAAGATTGTTGATTCGACTACGTCGAAAGGGGCATGGGATATTCTGACCAGATGTTATGGTGGAGATGTATCAGTAAAGAAGGTAAAACTTCAGTCCCTGCGAAAACAATATGAAAATCTCAGCATGAAAAACAGTGAGAAAGTTTCTGAATACATTTCCAGATTGATTCTGATTACCAATGAAATGAAGGCTTGTGGAGAAGCACTTTCTGAACAGGTAATCATAGAAAAGATTCTGAGGTCACTTACGCCTCAGTTTGATTATATTGTTGTTTCTATTGAACACTCTAAAGATCTGGAAACCATGAGAATAGAAGAGTTGCAAAGCAGTCTAGAAGCACAAGAGTTGCGTCTGACTGAAAGAACTTCTGAGAGGGAAGTGGAGCAAGCTCTGAAAGCTTCTTTTGTCAAGAAGGACCAGAAGCAGAATAGACATGGTGATAAATTCCAGAAGTCAGAAACCTCAACTTCTGATGAAAAGAAATATCAGAAGGGAAAGGAAAGGTATGACAAGAAGAAGGTTCAATGTTACTGCTGTAAACAGTTTGGGCATTTTGCCAGAGACTGTAGAAACAAAGGAAGAAAATCAGAAGAAGCAAATATAGCCAGAGAAGATTCTGATGATGAACCTGTGCTACTGATGGCTTCTGATTCTGATGGAAACTGTTCAGGAGATTGGTGGTATATGGACACTGGCTGTTCAAACCATTTGACTGGGAACAAACAATGGCTGACAGACTTTGACTCCAGAAGGAGAACAAAGATCAGATGTGCTGATGATAAGTACCTTAATGCAGAAGGTATGGGAAATGTCAGAGTCAGAGTGAAGAATGGAAGAAACATTCTGATCAAAGATGTCTGGTACGTTCCTGGAATTAAAAGCAATCTGATGAGTGTGGGTCAGCTTGTTGAGAAAGGCTTTTCAGTGGTTATGAAGGACAACCTCTTGACGTTGTTCGATTCCAATCAGAAAATGATTATGAAGTCTGAGCAGGGAAGCAACAGAACATTCAAAGTGAATGTAGAAACCTCTGAAGCAGAGTGTCTCAGTGCAGAAGGTGCTGAAGCAGACAGTAAGTTGTGGCACAAGAGGTTGGGGCACTTGAACTATAGAAGCTTAGGGCATCTAAGTTCTAAGAAGCTCGTTCATGGCATTTCGAAGATTGTGAAGCCTCAGAAGTCATGTGAGATATGCATGAAAGGCAAGCAACCAAGATTGCCATTTGCGTCAGAAGTAGCCTCCAGAGCAAAGCATGCTCTGGGTGTAGTACATTCTGATGTGTGTGGACCATTTCCAGTAGCTTCACTTGGAGGAAACAAATATTTCGTGTCTTTTGTGGATGAGTTCACAAGAATGACTTGGGTAAAACTCATCAAGTTCAAGCATGAAGTGTTTACAGAATTTCAGAAGTTCAAGGTGAAGGCTGAGAAGCAGAGTGGTCAGAAGCTGAAGATTCTGAGAACAGATGGTGGAGGTGAGTATAACTCTACAGAGTTCCAGAAGTTCTGTGAGGAGAATGGAATAGAACATGAGGTTACTGCTCCATATACTCCTCAGCACAACGGTCTCGCTGAAAGAAGAAACAGAACTTTGCTTGATATGACCAGAAGTATGCTGAAAGAGAAGAAGTTACCTCACATGTTATGGGGAGAAGCTGTTGCCACATCAGCATATGTTCTGAACAGGTGTCCAACAAAGAAGCTGAAGGAAACTATTCCTTTAGAAAAATGGACTGGAGACAAGCAGAGTGTTAGCCATCTGAAAGTATTTGGTTCTGTGTGCTACAAACACATTCCAGAGGCTAGAAGACGAAAACTGGATGATAGAAGCAAAACAATGTTACTGGTGGGGTACCACAGTACAGGTGCTTACAAGCTTTATTGTCCAGAAACCAACAAAGTTGAAATCAGCAGAGACGTCGTTGTGAAAGAGTCAGAGACATGGGATTGGAACAAGCTTCAATCAGATTCTGGTGTAGTGCCAACACCAGGGTTAGTTTCTGAAGACGAGTCAGAGTCAGAAGAAGAAGACTCTGAAGATGAGTCAGAATCTCAGGGAGATTCTGATAGTGGATCTGATTCTGATCCAGATTCTGATGATGATCCAGAATCTAGTGGTGATTTTACTTCTGGAAGGGAAAACTCTGAAGACATAGGGTCTGGAGAACAAATTTCCAGAAGTAACTCTGAAGGTGGTAATTCTGAAGGAAGTAGTTCTGGACAAGGTTCAGAAGCCAGTATTGTTCCGAATTCTGGAGAAGCTTCAGAACAAGACCAGAGGCCACAGAGAATCAGACGAATACCAAGTAAGTTTGCAGATTTTAGCATGTTGCATGATACTGAAGTAGATTCTGAAGGAGAAATTGTTCAGTGTGCCATGCTAGTAGATTCTGAACTAGTGGGTATTGAAGAAGCACTCAAGAAGAAAGTATGGCTGAATGCCATGAAAGAAGAACTTGAGGCAATTGAAAGAAACAAGACTTGGAAGCTGACAGAACTTCCAAAAGGCAAGAAAGCCATCAGCGTCAGATGGGTTTTCAAGCAGAAGCTAAAGCCAGATGGATCAATTGGCAAACATAAAGCGAGACTAGTGGCCAGAGGTTTTCTTCAGAAACCTGGACTAGATTATTTTGAGGTGTTTGCACCTGTAGCTAGACACGAAACAATCAGACTGGTGATTGCTTTAGCTGCAAACAGAAATTGGCCTTTGATACATCTGGATGTGAAGTCTGCATTTCTGAACGGTCCATTACAGGAAGAAGTTTATGTGTCACAACCTCCTGGATTTGTGGAAAAGAATCAGGAAGGGATGGTATACAGGTTAAGTAAAGCTCTGTATGGACTGAAGCAAGCGCCCAGAGCTTGGAATCTGAAGATTGATTCATTTTTCAAGGAACAAGGATTTCAGAAGTGTGAGATGGAGTATGGTGTTTACGTTCAGCACACTTCAGAAGGTAATATGATTCTGGTCTGTTTGTATGTTGATGACATATTACTCACAGGAAGTTCTGAACAAGAAACAGCTGAGTTCAAGAAAGTTCTGATGAAGGCGTTTGAGATGACAGATCTTGGAAAAATGAGTTTCTTTCTAGGGATGGAACTTATATACTCTGAGAAAGGAATCATTTTACATCAGAAGAAGTATGAATTAGAGCTTCTGAAGAGATTTGAGCTAGCAAACTGCAAGATTGCTATCACACCTGCTGATACGAATCAGAAGTTGGACTCTGATTCTGATGGAGAGGATGTGGACGCTACAACCTTCAAACAGATGGTTGGTTCTCTGAGGTATTTATGCAATACCAGACCTGATATTTGTTATGCAGTTGGAATGGTCAGCAGATACATGAGCAAACCAAAGTGGTCCCATTACCAAGCTGCTGTCAGGATTCTGAGGTATATAAAAGGAACTCTGAATTATGGAGTGTTATTTCCTTCTGGAGGAAAGATCAAATCAGAACTTCTGAGTTATTCTGATTCTGATTGGTGTGGAGACAGAGTCGACAGAAGAAGCACTTCTGGGTATTTATTCAAGTTTCTGGGAGGTCCAATTTCTTGGTGTTCCAAGAAACAGCCTGTTGTGGCTCTGTCAACGTGTGAAGCTGAATACATTGCTGGTGCTGTAGCCGCCTGTCAAGCAGTTTGGCTTCTGAATCTGCTGCGTGATCTGAAGGTTGAAGTTGAGGAACCTCTGAAGCTGATGATTGACAACAAGTCTGCAATTAATCTTGCAAAGAATCCAGTTCTACATGGCAGAAGCAAGCACATTGAGACGAAGTATCATTTTCTGAGAAGTCAAGTGCAGAAAGGAGTGCTAGAAGTTCTGCACTGTAGCACTCAGAAGCAGCTGGCAGATGTTCTGACCAAGGCAATAAAAACAGACCAATTTCTGCGCTTGAGAGATGAAATTGGTGTTGTTAACTTCTGATAAATTACTAAATTACGGGATGGTATTAGAGGGTAATTTAGTATTTTGTTAGTTGTAGATAAGTTTTAATTAGGGCCTATGTGGCATTATTATTTGTGTATAAATAGGTGTACTAGGTTTACATTTATTAATCAATCAATTTCTCCAATCATTTGTGTCAGCCTCTATTGCATTTATTCCCTTTCATTTTCTCCTCAAATTCATCACCTTTGCACTAACAGTTTTCATACCGTTGTTTAACAATTTATTATATTAAAGATTACACAATCCAAGACAAGAAATCCTAGATATTTGTTGAAGTAAAGAAATAAAACAATTCAAACCTGACTTACAAGGGGGTAACAGATTCTCAAGTTGTTCTGATGTAAGCTCTTGTGCGACTGAACAAGAAGACCTGATAGCAAAGAGGATTTGCAAGTTAAAATAAAGCACTAATGTAGTGATTATAATTATATAGATAAACGGTGTGCTTTGGGAAAATAGCATGGAATAAGTTGGCAGGAAGACTGGAAGAGCATGAAATTTGACAAACTATCTTGACATGATAAATGGTATGGTACGTTGTCAAATTTTCAAACATTACATCCACTCATATTTTCTCCTAACCAATCTTGTCCTACACGTAGAAGGATATGTTTACAAGAGAATGGATCACTCTCGTACCTTTCTGGATCCCAAGAATTATCAGAACACGTCCATTTTGATGGAAGAAGTGCACATGCTGGCAATTTGCGCCACTTCAGACAATCTTCACATTGAGCCCACTGAATCCTTTCACTGGAAAATAAAGTACATTGCTGGCAATTATTTACTTGGGTTAATAACAAAAAATAAATCACCCAGTCTAAAGAGAAATTAAATAAATTATGTGTAAAAACCATGTCTTTCTCAAAAACTACCCTGTAAAGCACGCTCATCAATAAATAAATAAAATTACATAACATCCCTTCAGAAGTACTCAAAAATCAATGACAGTCTTAGTTGAGAGAGCAACACAAATCAAATCCAGAATATTGTGGTTGTCATCGTAATCAATTAACAATAACAACAATGATATGGTCATAATAATAAGCCTAAATGGTGATGGATGAGTTATATACCCCATATTATCACTAGTGAAAATAGTTGGCTTCCCAAGCACTGGAGCATCCTGTAAAAGCATTCTCAGCATATAAGGTTTTCACAATGCATAATAATACTCATAAAGTTTTCAATCAAATAAAATACAAAAGAAAGATGGCAATAAAGACACAATAATATCAATCCAATATTCGAAGTACAAGTGACATGAAAAAAATAAAAATATCTATGTTCACAGGCTACAGTATGGTGACGATGAAGAATGGTTTTAGAATATGAAGATCAAGAATACACATTCCTCAACTAAAACCAGTTGAAGATCATTTATGGGTATTGAAAGCACAAAGCATTACATGAAGAATTCACTACATTTCAAATATGACAGCATAGTGGAAGAACTATATTACACACATCATGGACACATTGTAATAATCATTGGTTAGTTTTATACAACCAATGGATCCAAAGAATTACTATCCGAAGATAATAGCTTTTATTTTTTATTTTAGGTATACTTTAAGTAAGCAAGTTTAGGTTTATATGAACACATCACTAAAAGTTAAATTAAAACTAGCATATCAAAACCACTTCTGAAGCAGAGCAAGAGAAAAGGCACCTCATATTCCTCAAACTCAAAGCCTTCAATCACCACAATGCTTGGAACATGGTTAGGAGGGGGGCGGAGCAGGCCTTGAGCTTCTTGCCATGTAATCTTCAGCTCTATTATATCGTCATTTTCAATTTTTAGACGTTTACTTTTTGAACCCAATATGTTGTTCTTTCTCTTTCTAGAGATTAAAGATTTGCTCCCCAGTGCTTCTTTTGCAATGTATCCCGACTTATCAATTTTTGACCAAGAACTAGGATCACCCAATTCAACCTAAGCAACAAATGCAACCAAGTATGACACAGCTTAAATTTGAAAAAAATAAATAAAAAACAATTACAATGTAGTTAGCTATTTGATACTAACTTCATGTGCAGAAAATCCATTTCCAGTCTTATTGGCTTCATTATCCTGGAAAAGAAAAATATGCAAACAGATGTACTTTTTCAGTAGACACTCACATTTTTACCTAATTAATACATCCACACCTACACACGCAAAAATTGATATAGGATATTAAATTGAATATACAAAAAATGCAACAAAAATAAATAAAAAAATTAATTAAATCATGAACTATCCTTTATTATAAAATATCAACAACTATAAGATTAGCCTTAGTAACCTGAGCAGAACTCAGATAGCATATGGAAATTGAAATTAGAAACTACAAAAAGGCATAACAGCAGCACCATATAAAAAACTATATGAAAGCAAAAGCTGATTCCGTACAATTTCATGCATAAATTATCAACACGTGTTCCAGTTAAAGTTAGTTCTGTTCAACCATACAATTCACACTCAAATTATGTACACCAGATAATTATTCAAAACATATATTACCTGATCAGGTGGCATTGCATTTGTAGCCTTTCTAAATCCCATAACCAACCTCCCTTCTGGCTCCAACCGGCTAAATGTTACTGAGAAAATCAGTTCAGGTCAGCCACAATACAAGACCACTAACTCAAACTATCAATCGCAGCAAGATGGTGGTACAACACAGTATAAAATGGGAGAGGAGAAGACAAAAGCATGTAAGACAAAAGGATCCAACAGGGATTCTTTGAGGCAATATTTCAGAGCATTATGACCTAGAAGACCTGAATACAAAAACATCACTAATAATATGGCTAGTGTTATCAGGCAAATTATCATATTGAAGAAATTTTTGAAAACAAAAATCTAGGCAAACTATCATTGATCTAGAGATACTGAGAATATCTTACTATTATCATACGAATATGTTGATTGTTTTGTTTCCTTACAAAGAGCCTATTTGTCGTCTTTAAAAAGTATATAAGGTTGCTAGAGATACTGAGTTAAGATTATAAAAGATGTACCTGGAATTTTTTTAATAATTATGTGACCTTTTCCAAAAAAATGAAGCCACAAAACTGTTTTTGTTCTTTTCTCAAAAGTAAAAATAACAGATTGAAAAACATTTATATCATAAAATGAAGTTCTTAGGCATAACCAAATGAACCAATAATAAGGTAGTCAGTCTGACTGTAAAGTGAATTTGGGCTTGTTCTAATAATACTAGAAGTTTCCCCATTAGTAAAAGTTTGAGGGTTAGAATTTGAATTGCTTAGAAAATGATGGAAAGAGAAAGAAAATTGGAGTATGGAGAATCTGAAACTGTTAATTCTGAAAACTGGAGTGTTGGAAATTAGAATACAACTGATTTTAAGAGTAGTAGCTATTTATAGGTTATGTTACAGATAGAACTGTAGCTGTTAACTGTAAAGTTGCAACTGTCAGATTCTGTTACTAAAATATAGAGTTACTGGCGTACAATAATCTCATCCTAATAGTTAGTGCGGCGGGTTATAAGCCCAGCCTGCGATCCATTGAGAACCCAGTGCTCATTCTATTCCATAGAAAAGTAGGTATTATAAATGCACAAATATACTCCTAATGCGGGTGAACAAATTATAGCATATTATTATTACACACCAATAACATATTCAGTGCTATACTTGCCATCTTTATTTCATTGTCTTCTCTCCAACCTAAACCTATGATCCTAAACCAGGGCCATAAAGAAGGTTCGTGCATATCTGACTCATGAAGTTTTACTTAGCAGGAAGGAAACAAGAAAAGAGCTCTAAATCATCAAACAAATGAATTTCCTTCATGGCAGTGTCTTACCTGTGTCACCTGCTTGCAGCTGCATGGATTGTATGCAAGGAGTTACTCCTTCTAAAACATACATTCTGCTGTTGTTATTCGGCCAGAAGCGGAACTGAAATATCCATTCCTTTCCTTTTGCATCAAGGATTTTAAGTGGCAACCCTTCAGGCTGAGAAATTGGTGGGAAGTAGGTCTGTCTCATTGAACAAATATAAATAATATTATTATAGTATAACCTTTTATTAAATATTCATGAAAAAATAAGGTGGCCATGCTGTGCAGAACATAAAACAGACTATTGCTAAAGCCTGGAAGGAACCCCACAAATAGAACAGTCCAAAATTAACGGAGATGATAAATAACCTAGGACGATTATATTTGCTTATAACTCATACAATAAAAACCGCCACAAGCCTTATGTCATTAGGTGGTGGAGTTGGCTATATGGATTAAACAAAGCAACAATCCTCTACCATACATTACATTAAAGATTGACCATTTAGGTAGAATTGGCTAATGCATGCATTCTCATTCTGATGTTTTCTTGGTTTCTACTCTACTGCTCCAGGTAAAGACAATATTCATGAATTTTTAAATGCAAGTTTACTCGTGCCGGTTGCCACAATCTATTGAAAGTTATTATTTTCTAGAGATATACAGGTGGTAGAAGAATAATATTATCATGCCATGTGAATTTGACACGACTAGCACCTCATTGGACAATATACACTAATTTACATTCCAGAAAAGGAGTTTATCAATGTACGTATTTACAAGGCAGAACAAGATATTTATGACATGCAGACATTACAAAAGGAAGACAGCCAATTGTTAATACGGTATATTCAATTTACTGCAGTCATAAAGCATCTACACAACATGTACTTTATCCAAAAATACTTTCCAATTAATAGCTTGAAGCGAGTATCTCAAGACCAACCTCAGCACACTTTTTGGGTAGTACCAAACGCCCAATTCGCCCAGCATCACTAGCACTCAAAGTTTTTTGGAACAAGGGAGTTATTACAGAATTAGAACTTGGGAGAAGTTAAGATGCACATTCTGATATGGATTTAAACATAATTGATAAATAAATGGCATTGAAAAGGTGTAAAGCAACGTAATAATTATGTGATTTGAAGGATACTCGATAGATATTTGTTGTAGCTCCAGCTCAGTACACCTGGGCCAGTAACGTGGCAACAACTGGCTTCTTCCTCGGGCATCTGCTCGAGGTCGTCCATTGCGAACCTGAGCTTCATTTGATGAGTCAAGAGCTAAATGCATTGTGCCACTAAATTGCTTGCCTGGATGAGGTGGAGTTTGTTGTGAATGAATTCCAGTTACCCCAATTAGACCATTTCTTTCATTTGGGGATGAATAAGGTACAGATAAACCAAATGGTTGAGAAGATGAATCTTCCTTAAGGGAATGATGCTGTTGGCACATATTTATACACGGACTTGATTTGTCCTCGTTCCTCATTCCTGCAATACAACAAAGAATCCAGTAATGTAGTCATCTCCCAGTTATTAATGCATTCATCGACCTCCTAAATCTGATAGCTGGAAAAGTAAACAGTTGTGACAAGGTCAAAGCATGTATTACCATTCATAAGCACCATTTCCCTTGAACCAAGTTTGACATTCCAATTAGCCGATATTCCAGAAAAATCTTCATTTTTCTTTTCCAAGGATGAGGTTGGTAACCTTTCATTACCATAAATTTTGTCAAAGTTATTTGGTAACTCAACGACAGAGTGCCCGTCTGGAGGCATGTCAGATGAAGAAGCTGGATTGAATAAACTGGGTGCTTGCTTCCAGGGTACAGGTCCTGATCCAGCTAACTGACTCCAACTTTTGGAAGATATGTCTCTAAGCCTCTCCGATAAACGATTTTGAAGAGATAAAGATTGCGGCCATGGCAGATTAGATGGCTGAGATACAGATAACAGATAAAGAGCACAGTCACTATGCCAAAAATCTTCCATCCAACTAGGATTTAATAATTAAATATTATCCAAGCATCATGGCATAACCAGAAATTACAAACCATTTGCTTGTCATAATTTAAAGATATAAGCTATAAATGACAAAAGGGCATTTACAAGAGTAACTAAGTAGGAAAGGAGACTTTTAGACCTTTGGCAGTAAAGAAGAGACCCATTGTAAAATTAGCTAGAAAAGAAGCCAAAATGGAAAGAGGGGGATAAATTCAATGTAAGACTGTCAAAACAAAATCTCAACATAGCAGACCTGTCTGACCTTAACTTAGTTGGAAGAGCAGGGGAAGAAAATTAAAATTATAAATGTGAAGCAGTAACAAATGCAATATTCAATATAAGAAGACTTATTGAGAATATTATTTCTTACTGCCAACACAAAACAAGAATTTCATCCTCAATTTATTTCAAATTTTCAGCATACTCCTTGCATAAACCAGTTCTATTCGGATTAACTGTCAAGGAAACTTTTATTTCACATGAGAATGATCTTCCCCTTACTCTCCATTAACTATGAAATGGAAACTTCTAGAGTTCATTTCACTAGAAATGGAAGAAAAAGGGGATGCATATAACCCACAAGAAATTCATGCTATACATTGCATGTTGATTCAAGACAAAGCAGGAGAGGGAGGGGACTACATGTCCTCACTATGATAGAGAAACCTACCAAAATAATATTTTTGCGGGCACATGTAAAACACTCAATTCCTCCGGGATCCAACAACACGAAGGTGTTACTTGAAATAATACACCCACAATGAATTCGCTGCAAAAAATTGTTAGCCGTTAGTTAAAATTAAGAAACTCTAACTTAGCCTAGGGAACCTATTTAAATCTATTTGTATCTAAAATAAAGATAGGTCACCTTTCTACAAGTCTCACAATTCCTCCAACCAGAAGCATTTGCGTGAAAAATGTCACAGAATCTCCCTTCTTCAAAAGCAGAACTAAGTATCACAGAAATAGTCAATTTTTACTGAAGGAGAACATATGCATCACGCAAGAATACATAGAAAACAATATCAGAACAGAAAAAAGATAAGCAACAGACACAATTATTTACATATGACCGATCAAATTATTGATCAAGATATTTGTTATCAAATTGCAGTACAACAAATTACAATTCTTTTTCCTTTCCTCATTAACAGACGGTGAGAACAAATGGTTAATCTAAAAATCCAGCCAATTTTTATTACTGAAACCTAAAAAAACTCTCTTTTTGGCACTGAGAACAAATTTTTTTATACTAAATATTACATAAGAACCTTAAGAAATCCACTCAGTTTGTACATAATCCAATCCAACTTCAGGTTAAGAATATACAGAAAATCTAGAGAACCTGCTTGGCATGAGATGAGCATGGCAGAATTTGATTTGAGATGTGTTATCGGAATGCATTTTATTCATGTTAACTGATTGTACACAACTGCTCTAAGATGAATATAGAAAATGATAGATCAGAGCCATCATAACCAGAAGAAGAAATAACAAACTCAAAACTATGTTAGGAATGGGCCTGGGCCAACAAAGTCTGGAAAGTGTTCTCTACTGGAGTTTCCAACATTAGCAAACTGTGACAACTAGTGATGTTGTGTGAGTTAAAGCATTAGCTTACAAACTGTTACGATTGAGGGGAGGGGGATTGTGGAAGAGGCAGGCAGACTAGTCAGAAATTGAGTTGTTCAGTTGACTTGACAGTTGTGCAGTGAGAAATCCCTTGTGAAGAGAACCTTTCCTCTTGTTAGATTCATTGAATAAGAATCTTTCTATCAAGTTCCCTATTTTTTTAACTAAACTATATTTTTTTCTTTCTCTGGATATCATTTCCTTTTCCAACATTCACTACTATAAAATTATTACGGATCTTATGGCAATCTATAATTTGATGGGCAACAACAAACCAGAGGTGCAGAAGTTGACAGAGAAATCAAGCTGCAAACTCCATGGATGACAACCTTTTACAATTACAAGTGTTGCAAAAATAAAGGGGTTTCGAACCGAACATGGATTTTAAGAATAGCAAAAAATAATAAACATAGCATAAGGGCCGTCTTAAGTTTTTGGAAGCCCAATGTAGGTTAGCTACAGCTCAACCGTGAAAAACAACTAGAGGACTTATTTAGTCATGGTTTAACTATGGCAACTCTATTATGAGGCCCTCTTTAGTCATAATTTAACAGTGAAATTTTTGAGACTTTGTTCAATAGCCCACCTTGCACGCCCTTAAAAACGGTCCTGCATAGCATTCAAAAAGATCGCATTGCATGCAACTTAGCAACACCCAGAAACTTTCCACACTACAACACATAGTAAAAGGGCTCAATGCATATGCAATTACTCGAACAACTACGCCACACATGCCCACACTCAACCAATCACACCTTCTCATACAAAACCTTTGTCCTAACCAATATATTAACAAGAAACAGCTACGAATCCACGGTCACATAACTTGAGAAGCACTACACTAGTCTATAGACTCAACTTACCTCCAAATGAACAATCTATAGAATCAAAAAACGGCCAATCCAATTTCAATCACATTACCAAACACAACTTTATCTCTTTTCGGTCAAAACCAATCCAAAATTAACAGCACAAACCCATTGAGTAATACAGAACTACGTAATAGACTCAAAAACATAAGAAGAAAAAAATTAACACAACAAAGTTAAACTATAAACTTTATCCAAATTTGCAGAAGAATTACCCAATCTATCAAAACAAACCGCCACGTGTAAATTGTTCCAAAATCAAAATTCCCAAAAAAAACAAAAATAAACAGCGAAGAAAAAAATAAAAACTTTACTATAAAATAAATTCAAAAAAAGATAAATGATTTTGCATAAAAAAATCAAAATAAAAAATAGAAGTCAAGAAAACAGTGAAAAGAAGAAGAAGAAAAACTAACCCGCATCGATCACAAAGTTCGGCTAGGTCACCAGTACGTAGTCTCCAACCTTTCTTAGGTCTTTCAGACTTGAAGTCCTTGCAGTCAGAATTGAAGCAAAGTTTAGAAGAAGAAGAAGAAGAAGACGAAGAAGGAGCAGAAGCCATGGCTAAATGGTTGGAGTTTCCTGATCTGTAATCATACGCAACAACAGAAGGGGTAGAGAATGAAATGGGTTTTTTCTAGAGAGAGAAAGAATGAATAGCAGTGAGAGAGAGAGAGAGAGAGTGTGTTGAAGTGAGAGAAGGAGAAAATGGGTTTTAAAAAGAGTAGTTGTTGGTTGAAGTGTTGTAGTCTAGTAAATATTCGGCGTTCTTCGTTTCTCTTTCTATCAAATAGGGGTGTTCAAAAAATTATTTAATAGTTAAACTGTTAAATAAAAGGTTGAAAATCAGAGGATTAATTAGTGTTAAAAATATTTAATATGTTATAAAGTTTTATTATTTATTGTCATTGTTTAAATTTTTATTTTATTTTAATCATTTAGAATTAATTATTTTATAATAAATTTATTTTTATTTTCATCAAAAATTTATCATTTTTTTATCTATAAATAAATATTTGATTTAGACATATAAAAAAAAATATTTTTTCTATTTAACTTTCAATAAATTTTTGTTTTATCTATTTTTATTTGTTTTAATAATGACTATCATTAAATTAGAAGAAAAAAATCAAATAAATTAAAAATATATAATTAAAAAAATCAAATAAATTATTAAATTAAAAAAATTAAAATTAATTATTTAACTCTTAATTATTTTAATTTTATTTCAATCAATAATTAATATTAATATAAAATCATTAAAAAAATATAAAATATAAAATAAAAATAGTAGAATAGAGTGTTAAATTTTATTAAACAAAATCATTATAGTGAATAAAAAGTTAAATAGATATTAAATTATTAAGTGAAAGAAAAAAAATTGATATAATATATAAAAAGTAAAAAAAAAATACTAAATATATAAATTATCGTACATAATTTAAATAGTCTAACTTTTTCCTTTTTGCTTCTTCGTATCTCTTGCAACTTTTCTACCAAATATTTTTCCACTTATTATTAGTACTACTATTCTTTTTTTATTTATTATTTTTATTTAATATTGACCTGATAATATGAATGAATAATTTGTTGTTTTATTTAATATTCAACCATTACCAAATCAATCCCATAAAAAATAAAGAAATTCCTGAATGTGTCAACAAATCAATGACTGAATGAATAATATTAAAAAATAAAAAAATATTAATAACATAGAAATTAGTAAAATACATGTGAATGTTTTTAATTGGAGACAGATTATTGGAAAGTACTACCGGTACTTAAAAAAACTTTCAGAGGTACCGAAATCCTTATAGCCAATCTTATATTTTTTCAATACAAATTTTTTACTTATAAATTTCTTACCAGCATATGTTCCAACGATACAAGTTATAGCATTATAAAATTAAAAAATGAATGCTTCTAGCATTAATTTTATTTTTAACTTCATTCTTAGTATTGAATTTAAGTGAAGTAGTAGATCATATATTTACGACAAATAAATAGTAGAGTAAAAACATCACATGTGGCAACAAAAAGGTCCCATTTAAACCAAAAATGTCTCTCTCAAAATTTATTTGAGCTTTGAAATAACTCTACTTGGACCTATACCAATACAGTCTATATTTAAAAAATAATAATATTTTGAAAGGTGTAATCCAACGGTATGAGTTGGAGCATTAAATAAGTACTAGTAGTATTTTATGAATGTCCATATGATTTGATACGAGGGTGCTAAGAAACTCTATAGACTATAACCACTAACATTTATACATCAAAATCGCAACTTTTTTTTTTCTAATTTCAACACGACAAAAGAAAAAAAATTCCGTAATGTCTTTGTTATGAGATTTTGTAAGAAAGAGCTGAACATGTATGTGGCTTGAGTGGTCAAATTAGGATTAGTAGTAATATGGATGCACGTGAATTAAATGGAAGTGGGCGCGTGGAGAATTTATGAATACGCGCTGAAAGTGGGGAGCGTGGGCCAATTATATTGCATGGTCCGCGAGCCCACGCTGCCACGCAATCACGTAAATTTCCCAACTACGCGTACTTGAATGGTTACGAAGGACGTAGATCCTAGTAACTAGACACGTTTGTTTTTTTTTCTACTCCACATTATATATTTCCGCTGGAAACTCAAATTGTACCAATACAAATTTTGTGAACATTTTTTTTTTAATAATTAGATATTGAAAAAAAAATCGTAAATAGTTATGTTTTGGAGAAAATTACGCAAATAATCATTTTTCAGAAAATTTCACAAATGAGAAGTCAAGTGAAATAGCACATGCACTGGTCTATTTGTCCTAGACGTCATCTTACTTGGCGCATGCACTCTCTTTTAGCCAAGTGAGATGGCGCATGCACTCTAAAAGTGAGAGGAGACGTCATCTCACTTGACTCCTAGGGCAAAATGCATTTTTTATAAATAATTCATCTGTTTCTTCGTCATTCTTCACACTTTCTCGCACTGTCTTCTTATTTTTTTCTCTTTTATTTGCATCATGACATCTCCCATGATTTTTATCAGAGATGATTACGTTATTTTCTCGGCCACCAAACCTCCGATGAAAATGAAATTTTGACACATTCACTCCATGGAGTGTCTGAAGAGAGAGTTGATGTGATGGATAGAGAGAGACATCGAGGATGGGGAACAAATTAGAAGGATCCAGCGAAGAAGAATAGTCAACTTACTTGTAACAGGAAGACCTAATTTTTGGTTGGAGGAAGTCAAAATAGACAGCGACGTAATGTTGATGATGCATGAGTCAAATGAAATTGTTTTAACGGTTGTAATTTCGTAGATGTTTTATCGTGTTTTATTTGTTGTTTGTGCAAGGTTTGTTGTAACAAATACTCTTAATGAAAAATGGTAATGTTTATAACTTAAAAAAATAAAGATGTTTTATAATACAATTTTTATGTGGTTGAGCCAGTAGCCTGAGTCGGATAATTTTTGTGATTGTGTCCTACCTGACGACAAAAACCACACTTTCTTTCCAGCTTGTCAAGGGAGTCTATTTCAGTTGTGATGTGCTTGTTTTTGGGACGATCCTTTTTATTCCTTCCCATTTAGTCATTGTGACATACTATTTCACCGTCGTATGCAGGCCAATAATTAGGTTTTGCTACCAAAGGGAATTTGTTGTTGTATACGTTGAGCAAGGTTTGAGACTTGTAAATGGGAGACAGAAGTTGTAATGCGTCTTGATGAGTATAGGCACGCGCATCAATGACATGAGAGCAAGGCATACGAAAGGCTTGAAACTTATCATAATCGCACCAACGAGAAGGTAGTATAACCATATACTCTTGTCTTGGAAGCCCCTTGCTGTGGTCGATTGTCTCTTTGACAATGATGTTGTGGTTGTGTTGGTCGAACCGTATAACCAGATGGGTGTTAGCTTTGGCACTTTCTTCCTTAATATACTTCATGCAGTTTTCACTCCATAGTTGTCCCGATTGCAACACAACATTCCATATTTCACCTCTTTTGGCAAACAACGAGACCATCCTAAAATATGTTGATTTAACCAAAGCAGTTACTGGGAGGTTTCGTATGCCTTTGAATACCTCGTTCATGGATTCAATCAGATTTGTTGTCATGTGGCTCTATCGTTGTCCATTGTCGTATGATCTAGTCCATTTCTCAACCAGAATGTTATTGATCCACCTACCTGCGTCCGAATTTGACAATCGGATCTCATTGCGATAATATTTGAACGTAGGTTGTGTTAATGCATACCCTGCATTCATAACCGCTTTCCTAAGAGCTTTGTCTTTGATTTCCCTCGTGAAATTTTGGATGATATGTCTAATGCAATAGACATGCGTAGAACGAGGGTCATGTCAACGGTTTACAAGATTGTTGTATGCACTCTCAATAGATGCATGTCTATTAGAGATCAAACAGAGATCTGGTTGAGGAGCCACATGTGTTCGTAGATTCTTGAGAAAGAAGCTCCAAGCACCACCAGTCTCTCCCTCGACTAGGGCAAAGGCAATTGGGAAAATGTTGTTGTTGCCATCTTGTGCAACTACCATCGGTAGCGTGCCTTTGTATTTTCCATACAACCAAGTCCCATCAATTTGAATAATTAGTTTGCATGACGTAAACCCTGTGATGCAAGGTTGAAAAGCCCAGAATACTCGATTGAATATTCCATTTCCGATGATTTGACTACCATTTGGGGCGTACGTCGGCAGTGTTTCCATAATGTAAACAATACCCGAAGAATAAGTCTGAAGTGCATTCAGGTAGCGAGGAAGTTCTTTGTATGACTCCTCCCAGTTTCCATATACCTTTTCAATCACCTTGGTCTTTGCTAACCACGCCTTTCGGTATGACGAAGTATAGTTAAATATCGTAGTGATGTGAGAGATTATGGTTTTCACCTTCAATGATAGATCATTGCTGGCGAGGGGTAGGATTTCTTGACATATGATATCATAATTTAGTTTTTGATGATCATGTGATTGAGTAGAATTGATACACATGTGGGTGGACATAAAACCTATGACCCAACAATCACCTCTTAATTTGTATGATGCAGTGAGCTTGAACATACAATTTGGGTGAATACACTTGATCTTGTACCTTTCTAGATTTACACGATCTACCTTAAAATCGACCGAGTTGAGCATGTGAAACTTTTTATGGCTCGGATACATTCTTCTCTATTACGAAATTTGTCTTTCTCTTTTAAGTTTTCATCTGATTGCATATACGGATTGAAAAATAAATCAGATGACGGTTCATCTCTGCCCATGTTAAAGTTTTTCATGTGTGGAGGTGGTGTATAGATCTCGTTCGAAGGTATACCAGGTATCCCATCGTCTTCAGAATCATCGTTGACCATGTCATCAAACTCTAACTCGTCATCTTCTTTTATTCTTCAACGACATCTACTTCTGCTTGTTCGGCCTCGAGAGGATCAACCACTTGTGATAATTGAGGCTCTCGCAGCACAATGTACGACTCAATAGAGTCGTACCCAGAATACTCATGACTGGAAAACATATTCTAAAAGTCCTCGTCATCTTGAATCTCAA